GACGTATCGCTTGTAGCTAAGGCTCCAATGCCAATACGAAGAGGAAGGGGGAAAGAGGGCACCCCTGTCTGGTTCCATTGTATAGCCCAAAAGGGTTCAGTGGGGCTCCCGTTATCTGCACCTGTGCCCGCACATTATGGTACATCGCTCTCGTTATCGTTAAATATCCTTCCGGGAAGCCCATACTCCTCAATACCGAAAACAGAAATTGCCACTGGACCCTATCAAAGGCATTTTCTGCATCTATCGATACCACTAGAGTGGGCGTCCCAGTAGCCACTTGTTTCCAAATAAAATCTATATTCTTCCTGGTATTTTCAAACAATTACCTGCCTTGGATAAAACTGACCTGGTCTGCATGGATGAGCGAGTTCAACAACGGGTTCAATCTGTCCGCTTGTATCCTCGCCAGAATCTTCAGGTCATGGTTAATTAGCGATACGGGCCTATAATTTTCTGGATTAAGTGGATCCTTTCCTGGTTTGGGCAGTAAGACGATGGTAGCCGGAGACATGTCAGGGTCCAGTTGTCCTCCCCGCCGTAGGTTATCAAAAAGTCATACCAGTTGAGGTGCGAGCTCCTCCCTGTAGGTCTTGTAATATGTGCCATCAAATCCGTCTGGTCCTGGTGCCCTGTTGCCATTCAAACTCGAGATAGCTTTGTCCACTTCAACTTCAGTAATATCTGCCGCCAGATTACTTACTGCCTCTCTGCTCAATCTGGTCATCCCTAGGTTGTCCGGGTATTGAAGTATATGATCCTCTTCATGCTCCCCATGGGGACTTCCGTCCGGTGTGTGGTTGTACAACCTTTTATAAAAATCTTCAAAGACCCTAGCTATCTCAGCCGGTTTCGATTTTGTCGTGCCGTCAGGACGTCTGTAACGTGGGACTGTTCCTGCCTGGGCCGAAGCGTTCTAGCCAGAAGAGTGTCCATTTTGTTAGCCTTTTCAAAGTATGTCCGTTTTGACCAAACCATGTATCATCCAGTTATAGTGTACGGATGCTTCCAGTTGCCTGTATGTTCCCTCATCTGGCGTAGTTTGGTGTTTCTGTTTGAGGGTTCTCAGTTGTCCCAGTAAGGTCTCCAGCTTCTGGTGTTTCATTTTCTTCCTTCTGGTGGCCAATTTGATCAGGGTCCCTCTCACAACCACCTTATGAGCCGCCCATATCGTGCTCGCGTTCACCTCCGGGGTGATGTTCAGGTCACAGTATTCTATTATCTCTTTCCGAATCTGTTCTTGTAACTCTGGGTCCCGTAGCAAAGACGTGTTCAGTCTCCACGTCCATGGGGATGCTACACATAGGTTGCCCAATGTGATAGACACGTCTGCGTGGTCTGACGAAGATATTTTACCCACCTTTGACCCCACTATTCGAGACCTGCCCGATGCGTTAGCCAAGAAGAGGTCTATCCTTGAGTACGTGCCATGGGGGGCTGAGTAAAACGAATAGTCTTTGTCTCCTGGGTGGTGAGCTCGCCATATATCCACCATCCCTGTTTCAGCTATGAAATCTTTAAGTAGCCGATCCTGACTGCCCCTGCCCTGGGATCTAGGTATTCCGTCCCACGAGCTCCTGTCAACTGCCGGGCACGGGACCGCATTAAAATCGCCCCCCATAAATATCATGCCGTGGGGCAGCGCCGAGAGTTTTTCCCGGAGCATGCTCCAAAACCTAGGATCCGGTTGGTTTGGCGCGTATATATTTATCAGATGAATGATATGTGAGTGTAGGGTACCCGAAATGATAACAAAGCGACCCTCTGGGTCTGCCTCCTGAGTAGTCATTCAGAAGGGACAACTTCTTCTAATAATGATTGACACCCCATTACGTTTGCGATGGGACCTGGCTTCATATGAACCGGCATAGGTGTGGTCTCTCAACCGAAACTTGGCCTGTTTTGGCAAATGGGTCTCTTGGACATATGCTATGTCCGAGTTCGTCCTTTTCAGTTCTTTGAACATAAGTCGGCGCTTTTTAGGGGCATTGACCCTTAACGTTCAAGGAGGTGATCTTAATCTCCATCTTGTGATATGTTTGCGTCTGCCGTATAAACCTGTCGTAGTTTCTTTTCCATCTCGCACCCTGCTATGTTTCTGGGCAACCCCCTCGCACCACCCCCAGCCCCTGCAACCCCCCAGAATAGGACAAAAGACAAAAGGAAGAAGGAAAGAAGGAAGAGAAGAGAGAAAAGAAAAACAGCATCTGGACTCAGTCCGATGCAAAGTAACTCTGGACTTACCAATTGCCAGAATTTTGTGGGGAACATGTTCCCACATCCCCGCCACGATCAACGTTGAGAGGAACAGTGGGTCCCTGAGCTCCGTCGCCTACGCGCCTCTCCTTAGTTGAATTGACCTCTGGATTGACTATCAATGTGTTGGTATTTCCCTCACCTATTGGCTCCCTTTCCCCCTCTCTTCGGTATTTCTGGTTCTATCAGGGGATCCTATTTCGTAACTCTGCCTCTCATGGTCCCAAATAATTCGGTGGGGGCCTGATCCTGTCTCCTCCTATTACCATGGCTATATCTCGCCACCTTTTTAACAATCTAAATATTCCAATGCCTCTCCACCACCCAAAGTGCCGTGGTCTACATCACACCGCTAGGAAACACACCTTGGGGCCCTTTCACACAATCCCGGGGTCATTGGTAAGTTAAGCATACCATATGCATCCACTGTCCGGATATACTCGTTGCCATCATGCGTCATTGCGCCCCAGCCTATACCAACCCCTGCTATTTAGACATAGTTTCTTTTTTGGGACCACGGACCTCTAAGAGTGTGTGGGGGGGGGGGAATTCCAGTGTATCCCAAGGCACAATGTATGGCCTTGCCTTCCCACAAAGTAAACTTCCTCCCTGTGATACGGAGTAGGTCTCCCTGTAAAGGGATACTAAAGTTGGCCATTGTTACCTCGATCCGGTGTCAAAACTACCAGAACCCCACCATCGGGAGAGTAAAGTTGCATACATCCTATATACCTTATAAATTCACGCCTTTATGCGGTTACCTTACCCATCAGGTGCCCCACTGAACCATATAGATTACATAACATTGTATATCAGGTAAACACAGTGGCAAAATGTTCTATAAGTCATATTGCTTTTGGTGCGGGTCCCTGGCATAGCGGCTCGCCGTGTTTTTATCTAATTTTGCTTCAGAGCCGACTTTTAATAGGCTCAAAAAATTGTGAGTTTACAGACTACTCCTACTCATTATATTTCATGTAAATACAGATTACACTATGTGTATGTATATCTATTTTATATAGGTTAAAGAATAATTTCATACGAAGAACCTGTGTTATATCTGTTTATATATTTCATAAGGTAAATTCACACTCTAGTAACATTGTTTCTGAATTTTGGTTAGTGAGGAATATTTGATTCTTTATTTGTCCTTTTTGACTATCTTTTAATTCAGTTTTGCACACTGTCATTCTCACAGTCCTTATGTATAACTTTAGAAGAGCATTCTACTGTAGTGGAGGAAGTTCCTTAACCCCTTCAGGACAGAGTCAATAGTACACGTTCTGATCAAAACAAAATGTAAACAAAAACTGGAATTCACGTTATATGTCTGTTCAACCGTAATTCACCTCTTTCATATTAAGTGCACCCACACTTATTATATATCAATTTATTCAGGAGAAACAGGGCTTTAATTTCTCATAATTTATTATGAATAAAATGAAAAAAAACTGTGAGAAATTAAGATTTAAAAAAAAATAATGTGTAGTTTCCCCTGACATTTTAGCTGTAAATGTCATAATACTGTTAGCTTTTACTGCAATAAAATGCACATATTTGTATTCAGCATAATCCCACAAGTACAACAGTACCCTCCTTTAACAGGTTTTACGGTGTTTTGGAAAGTTACAGGGTCAAATATAGCACATTCTATTTTTCTATTTTTTTCACATTGAAATTTGCCAGATTAGTAATGTTACCTTTCAGACCGTGTGGTAGCCCAGGAATGAGAATTACCCCCATGATGACATACCATTTGCAAAGGTAGACAACCCAAGGTATTGCAAGTGGTATATGTCCAGTTTTTTTTAGTAGCCACTTAGTCACAAACACTGGCCAAATTTAGCGTTCATATTTGTTTTTGTGTGAAAAGAGCAAAAAACAAATATTTGTCCAGTGTTTGTGACTAAGTGGCCACTAAAAAAGACTGGACATACCCCACTTGCAATACCTTGGGTTCCCTACTTTTGCAAATGGTGTGCCATCTTTTTTTTTTTTAATTCTTTATTTTTGTTGTGCACAATATTAACAAATAACCTTGAACATTTGCAATACAAGTTGTGGCATTCGCTAGACAGGCACATTTTTATGTTAGAGAGATCAGTATTACAATAGTTTAGGTTCTCGTTTATGTGGGTTAGCGAGGTGCACATGTCAGGAAAGGGTAAACAGAGGAGTGACATAGAGACGAAGCATGACATGTGCAATCATTATATGAACACGGCTTTACAACATAGTATATGCTAGGTTGATTCTATCCTATCTCTTGTCTGGCTAGGCAGGGAATAAGTGGATGCAAATTACGCTAGACTTAAACCAGAAATAAGCCTACAGGAAGCGTACAACAGGCATTTGTGAAAATACTACAGATGTTTATAAATTTGAGGTGTTCTAAACAAAGGAAATAAAAATAATAGTGAATGCAATCAAAGTTATAACATGTTACCAAGGTAAAGCTGGCTGATACCCTGGCTACACTTGGTGTGGTATGATTCTACACAGGACCCTTAGCCTATGCCACTTAGAGTCCGAGTCTGATGAGGTAGCTTGGTACCGGGTTCTGCCTCCCCTTCTTGCTCCTTCCGTGTGTGGCGTCGAACTAGGAAAGATGGTGACCTCCATGGGCCGACGTTCTTGTGTGCCAGGCAGCTTAAGGGGACTACCTCTGGGTCATGCTGCTCCTGCCGAGGGAGTCTGGATCTCCATGGTTGAGGCGGGTAGTAGCGTCCATGCTGCTGGGCTTGTCAGATGAGCGTTGCCTGCCGCTGTGGCTTCTTGCGCTTTCTCGCTTTGTTAGCTGTGCGGGAGGGGGGGGTGGTTGTGTATATGCTTGCCGCTTCGTGTAGTAGGATGACCCCCAGGACCCGCTTGCCTTTCAGCAGGCGTATAGAGTGACTCTCTGGGTTCAGAGGAGATTCATTTGGTGTCGCTTCAATAAGAGCCTCCAATTTGGCCCAGAAATCAGCAAAGGTCACATCCAGTCGCTCCAGCACATATTCAGCCGCACCTCCTCGTGTCTCCATGGGCTGATTCAGACCCGGCTGGTGGAGCAGAGACCTGGCCGCCATCTTAGGTGAGTCAGCCGCGATCAGGCGTCGTGGTATGATAGCTGTGTAGGGTCGACAGAGGTGCCAGCCAGTGGATACCGGGATAACTCCCACCGGTCCGGGGGGAGGGGAGAAGATAGCTTTGTTCACCGGGACCACATAGTAAATGAAAGAGCTCAGAGAGCGGCCGTCTCTCCAGAGCTCAGGCTTGTGTAGGCCGCTGGCCACTACCAGGACGTACCGGGTCCAGACAGGCTCACAACTAGTATCCTCCGGTGCACCGAAGACCCATTGGCAATATAAGTGCTTATTGTGGTCTGATTGATGGGTGGCCCGGGTGTAAATCTTGATTTATTGGGGCCAGATGCAGGAGCTCTTGCAGAGCACGTCTGGCTTCCTTGGCAGTCAAGCTCCGCCCCCCGGTATGCCATCTTTGAGAGCGATCACATGGTCCCCGGCGGCCTGATTTGCCATGGGAGGGCTGCCTGGGCTGACAGACAGTCCTCCCGAAGAGGATCGCGGCGGAGGTAAGTACCGCAGAGCTCCTGGTGGCTTAAGCTGTTACGGGGTTCTATGCTTAAAGCCCATTAGAATGGGGACAGCATAGAACGCCGTAACGGTGTTAAGGGGTTAAAGTTTTTCCTCTGTCCTTTCTTTTTACATTTTGATAAATAGGTTGCATGTCCAAAATAAACCTATTAGTATCCAGCGTATTATTATTTTAATTTATATATAACGCCATCAGTTTCTGTAGCGCTGTACAATGGGTGGACTAACAGACATGTAATTGTAACCAGACAACTGGACGTACAGGAACAGAGAAGTGGAGGACCCTGCTCAATGAGCTTACATTCTAGAGGCCTAAGTGTGAACTTTGGTACTTTGTATTTTTAATTATAACAGTCAAACCAATATAATGCCCCAAAATGAGAAATATGCCCATCAAATCCATCTATCAAATTCTAACTTTAAAAACTTAAATAGTCAAGTTTCTTATATGGCATTGTACCTTCACAGTATCTTGACAAAGGCATACATTTGAATGACAGTTTTATTTAGAAAATGTGGTTAAAAACCATTTGTTTGTTTTTTACAGAAGTAGCACACACCAGATTTATGAAAAACATATAAAAAAAAAAAGTTGTAATATGTGTGTATGTTAAAACTTAGACTTTTTTTTTTACATTTTCTGCAATATTTAGCAGAGATTGGCAGTTAAATGGCTAGGTAAAAAAATTCTAAAATACCCATGACTAAATAGCCTGTGATTTATTTTGTATATAAATATATCCTTTTGTGAGGCAATTTAGTTTTCTGTGATGGAGTATTTTACTTCCTGTATTTTGTGACCTGTAACAACCAAAATTAAAATGAAATCCTAGACATATAATGTACTCTGTATGTCAGGGCAAATTTATTTATTTTGAGTTACTATTCTAAAGATGCACTAATTATGCACACATTCCTATTGGCAAAACTGTGAAAGAAATATATTTTATTTGCATTTTCTTTTTTATAATACATGAGAATGTATTTATATATATGTAAATTATACATATATTTGTCCTTTACAAACAGTATATAACATTTATTGGTGCAAATTGAGAAAATGATAATTGTAGTTGAACACACACATTAAAGTGAGAATTCAAAGTGAATTTCATATTGAAGGACAATATAGCCGATTTTATCTAATTCGGTTACTCTTCTAGGAGGAGAGACAATGCTAGTGGACTCCAGGCTCTTCAACAAATTCAATGAGATAAAAAAAATGGTTACATTGCTCCAGCATCCCTTTAATGTATTTGATAGTTTTTGGCCTTATTAATATCTTGCATTCTTGCATGCTCCAGTATTTATAGCTTTGCATAAAAAAATAATAATTACAAATTGAATGATCTGAACTACAAGCAGCCTGCTATAGAAGGAGAGGACAACCAATGAGACATGATGTAAGGATATCACTACCTGTTTGTAGTTTGACTCTCCCCCCTCCCAGGCTTAAGGTAAGAAAAGGGGGACATGAAGTTTAGTTTTTTTAACTAAAAAAAACAAACATATTTAATATATTTACATCTTGCCCCCCCACACACAATCCCTACAGACATATTCACACACACAGCACACTCACACACAGTACACACACACTAACAGCACACTCAAACACACAGCACACACACACTAACAGCACACTCACACTAACAGCACCCTCACACACACAGCACCCTCAGACAAAAACACAGCACCCTCACACAGCGCCCTCAGACACACAGAGCACCCTTACACACACAGCACACTGACAGCACACTTACACGCACAGCACCCTCACGCACACACAACACCCTCACACACACACAACACCCTCACACACATAGCACCCTCAGACACACACACACAGCACCCTCACACACACATACACACAAAGCACACACACACACATATATAATATATAAAATAACCTTCAGTGAGTTAACAAACAAATAAAATTAGACACATAGAATGTGATGGCAGATAAGTACACCCTCACACACAGCACCCCCTCTTACACACACACACACACACACACACACTTTACCCCTCACACACACACATGCTGCACCCCTCACACACACACGCTGCACCCTTCACACAAACACACGGCACACCCAACACACTGCGACCCTCACACATACAATACATCCGGAAATAAATATATATATATACTACAGCACAGCTTACACTACACCACTACACACAGATACACGCTAGATACCTTACCGAACTCTGGATCATTTAATCTACACACACACACACATACACACAGTAGATCCCTATATACACTCTAAATCCTCTACACACACACACACACACACACACACACACAATCTCCTATACACACTCTGGGTCCTTTACACACTAGATCCCCTACACATACACACACATTAAATTTCTGACATACAAACTCTGGATCCCCTATGCACAAACTGCATTCCTTGTTAGCAAACACATACTACATTCTCTAAACACACACTCTCTACAACTCCTACACACACTTTGTCACCTATACACACACACACACTACAGCCCGTATGCACACACTCGCTACATCCCCTATACACACTATGCCTCCTAAACACACATATTACACCACAAACACAAATGAAATTGACCTATTTACACAATACCACACCACAATCACGCAATCCCACAAGCAGGCTCCAAATACATACACGATATGCTTTCCTGCCCGTTTTGTCCTTTGCTATCCCACTTATGTAGACACCAGGGACAAGTTAAAAGCAAACACAGCGCAAGCATTTTATTAAATTTGCTTGCGCTGCGCAGACCAAATACAGGGCCTCTTTCTCATGCAAGAGCTCTTCAGCTTAAATCAGAATAAGTGGGGGCGAATCTATAGTCCTCCCCACCGGCCCCCACCCCTGAGCGGCGGATGGGGCCCTAAAGTAGAATAAGGGGGGGACCTACTGTCCTCCCTCCCAGCCCCAACCCCTCAGCGGCAGGTTGGGGCTCTAAAGTAGAATAAGAGGGGGGACCTATTGTCCTCCCCCCCTGAGCGGCATGTGGGGGCCCTAAATTACTTCAAAGAGAGGGGACCAATTGTCCTCCCCCCGGCCCCCACCCCTGAGGAGCGGATGGGGCGATAAATCCGAATTGGGGGGGACCTATTGTCCTCCCTCCCAGCCCCACCCCTCAGTGGCGGGTTGGGGCCCTAAAGTAGAATAAGGGGGGGACCTATTGTTCTCCCCCCCCGAGCGGCAGGTGGGGGCCCTAAATTACTTCAAAGAGGGGGGCCTATTGTCCTCCCCCGGCCCCCACCCCTGAGCAGCGGATGGGGCCCTATAGTAGAATAAGGGAGGGACCTACTGTCCTCCCACCCGGCCCCCACCCCTGAACATATCCGAAGTGCCAAAGTGCTGAAGTTCCGAAGTGTCGAAGTGCTGAAGTCCTGAACTGAACCGAAGGGCCCCAAGTCCCGAAGTTCCGAATTTCAAAAGTGCCAAACCGAAATGAAGTGCAGAAGTCGCGAATATCGGGAATGCGGAACCGAATATTTTGCCCATGCACATCCCTACTGCGCATTGAACTAACATGCTCACTTTGAGAGGGGGCGTGCTTGTCATTAGTGATGACAAAACACACCCTCTCTGGCCCCGCTCACATTACAATATTGAACAGATAACATGTACTTTACTTGTGACAAAAAAGACCGATCTCCCTGCCAGATGGACAATGAATGCAGAGTTTTTCACTTGTTGGGGATTTGTTGTGTTTGAAACTAGTTACAAATATTACACAGAGCCTGCTGTTACTCCTATCCCACTGTTCACTACTACATCTGTCTTCTTACTTTGATCGCTCAGTTAGAACAAGAAAGTGTCACACTTATCTTTGGTGCTCTTATCTGCTTGCTACAAAGATGGCTGGTTTCTCAGACACTCTAATCAAACCTACTGCTGCTGCGAGCCAATAACAGCCCTGTAATAGAAGCCAAATGAGTTAAACATTTCAACATCTCCATAGAAACACAATGGGTGATATTACAAATGCCTTCATGAAGGAGACTAAGCATGTGTAAAGTTGACTGAAACAAGGAATTTCTATTTTATTTATTTATTTATTTGACAAACTTCCTATGATTTCGGAAAAACTAGTGGCTGTCAATATCCTCTCTACACCACCACAACTCAGCGTTATAGGGAACTGCAAAATTAGAATTTTAACAAGGACACAGACTTTTTTGGGGGGGTTAGTGGGGGGGGGGGAGGGGTGTCTTAGTTGCCATTACCACAGCCATAGGATTGTTTGGCTTTTTTTTGTTTGTTTGTTTATTTTTCTAGCAAAAAAAAAAAGCACCTTGTGGGTTCTATGGGCAGTATGAGTGTAAAACAGCTGTGCAGAAGCTTTGTTAGGAAGACAGCCACTAGAGGTGTATGTAAAGTGACTCTGGGGTGTTCACATGCTTTGCAGAGACCCTG